TTTCCCAGAGCAGCATCCCCGGGCAGCGCCGGGGTTGCGGGGCTTTGCGTGGGTGCTGCCGGCCACCAGCCCCAGCGTGACACTGAGCCTTCCCCTGATGCCGGTGCTCAGACTCCCCTCCCTCCATTCTTTATTCTATGAAAGCACCTGGTTTAGTTATTCCAATTTTTTTTTCTTTTTTTTTTAAATAAATCTTCCTCTCCTCATTTCCCACCAACTCCCCACCACCCCGAGATTTTAACAGTGGCCGGGTAGGCGTGACAGCAGCACTAGAGAGACAGAGGGCAGCAGGGGTACGAGGTTTTAGGTCCCCTGAGCAGGTCGGTGGTGGGTCGCCGCCCTGCCCCGGCAGAGCCACCCTGCGGCCAAGGGACCTGGAGAGGGGATCCCGGTCCGGCCCAGTGACCCCGGCTGCCCCCCGCCAGCTAGGAGGACGGGCCGGGGCAGGGAGTGTGGGGTTCGCAAGTGTCAGGCTGGGGAGGCTGAAAGGGCAAAACTGTAAAGCGGGGACTCTGCAAGTTCGGATTAGTTTTGCGACTTTTGTCTTCACACCCCGGGAGCTCAGTCAATCGCAGTTTCCAGGACAAACTGCGTGGTGAGTTGCGGGGCGAGAAATAATAATAATAATAATAATAATAATAATAATAATAATAATAAAAAATTCTAAAGTCTCTCCCTTCAGCTCTGCGTTTCAAATGCAAATCGAGAGAGAGATTGGTTCCCGCCCCACCCCCTAGCCCGGCTCCTGATTTTTATCCAAAGGACTCCATCTGTATATCCTGTCAAGGAGGAGGAGGAGAGGTGGGAAGCGGGGGCGGGGGGGGGATTGAAGCCAGGCAGGCTGCTTGCTCCCTGGATCCCTCTTCAATAGCCACGGCTGGGTCTTCGGGAGGTAGAAAGAGTCCCTGTGCCGCCTCCGGGCGCCCTCGAACGGAGCTGGCAGCCGGCTCCGGCCGCCGAGCGGTGATATCCCCTGCCCAGAGCAGCATCCCCACCTCCTCTGCCTTCTCCCTCCCTCCTCGCTCCTTCCCTCCCTCCCTCCTCTTCCTCCTCCTCCCGCAGCCCCTATCCGCACCCAGTCGGAGCTGGGCTTGGCACAGACACCCACTTCTCCCGCCGTGTGCCCAGCGGCTGGCCGCACCGTGCCGTGGAGGAGGAGGAGAAGGAGGAGGAGGAGGAGGAGCGGAGCGGCGGCGGCAGCGCTCCTTCCTCCGCGGGTGCGGGCGAGTGTGCGGGCGGGCGCGCAGCCCCCATGCCAGGCGGGTGCCCCGCCGCCCGCAGCCCGACCCCTTCCGCCCGGGAGCATCCCGCCAGCACTTCGCCACGGAGGAGCCGGCGGCCCTTGGGATTAAAATACTCACCGCGCCGGGAAGCCGAGGCAGAGAGGGAGCAGGTAAGTGCCGGCTGCACCTGTGCCTTTCCCTGCCTTCCTTCCCCTCCCGTGTAGGCAGAGGGCGGTCGGAGCAGTTGCGGAAAAGGGCTATACGCTGTTCGTCCGCACCCGCTCGCCCCGGAGCGGCTCCTGCCCGGAGCGGGGCCGCGGCTCTGGGGAGCCGGCGCGGCCGCGGGTAAGTTTGGCGCTTCCCGCTCTGGGGGCGGCCCGGGCAGCGCGGCGGGGACCGGCCGCGGGACCACCGGCACCAGGGATGGCCGGGGGAATGGGGAGAGTGAGAGCACTGGGACTATAGGCGTGCGCACACCTTGTGAGAAATTAGAGAACAATAGCATCACTCTTGACTCTTTGGAGAAGTCTCACAGACAAGCAGGGAAGTGGGGTGGGGGAAGGGAGGACCACGGACTTCTGCAAAATACAGGCAGCACAAAGTCCTGACTGTCTCAGTCCTTTCTGCCAAGCCAAAGCGACTGTCTTGCTTGGCCTTGAAGTCCGGCAGTGATGCTACAGTGCAAAGGATTACTGAGGCAAGGAAATTTCCTGACTTATTTCCTAGAGTTTTCGTCCTTTTATGTCAAGGATGTTCTAGAGTTTGCAAACGTTGAAATTATGGGAGCTATTGTTTTGATTAGTATTCAGCTGGTAAGGCTAGCTCTGCAGTGTTTGGGTGATACTGACCCTTCCCCCTCTGCCCCGTCCCCTCCATCTATCCACATACCCACACTCACGGGCATGTCCTGCTTTCCTACAGTAGGCTGTGTGCACCGGTAGCAAGTGGTTTGTGATCTGGATCCTCAGACTTCTCGTTGCTAATGGAGGAAAAAAAAATATCACTTTTTGAGATATGATTTAGCCTTTATACTCATGCTTTCAGAAGGTGAGGTAGTTCAGGTGAGCCAGCATTCTGCAAATAATGTCTTCCCCTGGATTTAGGGAGAGATGGGAGATGGAGACTATTGAGGTGCTCTGATTCAGGGAACTGAAATGCTGATACTTTATTTTTTTTCCTATTGCAAGGAAAAATCTTGTGTTCTGATAGATAACTTCTCAAGTCAAAGCAGAGACTTGAAAGGGCAGAGTATGCTTCATAGTCTCTCAAAGAAGACATACTGCCTTGCGATTTTTCAGCTAAAACATAGGTGATTGTGCAGCTTTGCAGAAAACAAATTGCTTTTCCAGGACAAATAAATAAATAAGTACATAAAAGAGCCAAACTCTGAAGCGTGCCATTTTCTGAGCGTCTCTCATTGGCATTGATGTGTGACTTGACTTTTCTGCACTCATTACATCTACTAATAATTTCTGTGTTATTATAATTGAAGTTTGCAGGGAATTGTTACTGGTAAAAGCTAGATACTTTCTTTCTGAGAAAGATGGGTCTACATAATACCAGGTGCAGAGCTGTTCAGAGTGCAGTAGCACGAAAGTTGCATAACTAAATTAAGTTTGCTTAGAATAAAGCTTCTGAAGGTACAACAGGTCAGCAGATAAAGATCAACTGTAAAGTCATGTCGATTTTCTCTCAGCAATATCATAACAGTTTTAAAGATGCAGAAGTGAAGTGAGGATGTTTAGAAATTATATGATTGTGCCTCATTAGAGATAGTTCAGTGCAATGTGTGTATTATCATCTCTGGAGGGGGGGGGGGTAAAAAGAGCAAAAAGTCCACTAAACAAACCTGAAGAACTATCTAGGGACCAAATGTGTCATCCTGTTTAAAGTCCTTGGACACAGTTTTATAGTTTTCCAGTCTGCACCTACCAGGGCATCTATCTAGGCATCTAGACACACTTTTTTTAGAATCGTGAAGAAAGGCTAAGTGAGATTTACAAAACAATTGCAATAAAATCCCCATCGGGGCAAGAAAAGCAAAGGAGTTAAAACCTGACTCTGACAACTTTTAATATTAAATATGTGCAATATATAGGGTTTAGGTACTTAATAAAGACTTAAAACTACCTGGAATATTAGGAAAGTGTTAAAAATAATAATGTGATCTACCATTGCATATTATAAGTGCATGTCAGTTAATGTGAATGAAATTACAAACTTCAGTAATACAGACTATTTTCTTGCAAAAAGCCATTAAAGACTGCAGTTTTAATCAAGGGGCATTTCACCCTTATAGTGGGAGACTTTACTGTAATTAAAGGCTGATGTAGGTCATTAGAATTGTGTTAAGTCAGATGACAGTCTCACAACTCTCTTAAGTCTACTTCCATTGATTTGATAGCAAAGCACTCTTGATTATTTGCTATTGGTTTAATTGCAAATAATTCTTATCTTTTCATATAAAAGGGTAACTGTAAAGCATTTGTATAACTGCATATTAACTGTGAATTATCTCATGAGAAGAATGGATACAGCATCCATGTAGATTTTCACCTATCCTTTTCATATATGACTGTGTACGTGTCCATGCTGTGTCCATGTTTTTCTACGTTTCTTCAGCAGTCATAGACTTGACTGAAGGAAATCGTTATTAATGCAAGACTTTACATTGTTCTAGTCCAACTTAAATTCCTACTTTACTATAAACCTGGCTAAGCCTTTTCTCAAAGGGATTCAACTCATAAATTGACTCAAATGTGTGATGGAAATAGAAAATATTTTAAACTTCAAATGGTTTACAGATGAATATGCTGCTTGGGAGCCAGTTTTAGTGATGGGTTGGCTAGTAAGTTTCTGTGTGTGATTTTTGACTATTGGCTTCAGTATCTGATGTGTTCAGCAGTTCTTCAATGAAGGCCTTTCTTGAGGAATTCAGTTTCCTTTAGTTTATCACACACATTTTTTCATGCTACTACTGGGTATTGTTTTCTTGTGGCAATAAAAATCATTAAATTCTAGCTGAGGAAGGGTGCATAAAATAGATGGTTACTTCGGTTCTTCCTGTCAAACCAGGCTTAACTCTAAGCAGTAATACAGGAGTGCCTCCTCTGGGAATTCAGCGGTTCTGCAAGAAAATCATCCCTAGGCATTATGTGAAGTTCCTCAGCTGAAATGAGGCTGCAGAAATTGAGCTTGTGCAAATTTAAATATTTGTCTTGATTGGTCCCAGATCCACAAATACTGCTGGCGTTTCTTTTCAATAACTGATCAAATTAGCATAATCCTTCTCAGCAACTTAGATGTTTCAAATGTGCCGTAGCAAGGTGAAAAAACAGCAAAGCACTTTCACATGGAGAAAATGATATTCGAAAAAAATTTTTCTTTTGTTAATTTTTCTTGGGGAAAAATACCCACCCACCAACAACCCAAACAATTTAACACTCTAGCCACGTTCCATCTTATGATCAACTGCAGAGCTGTATAAAAGACCAAAAGCTGTTGCCTGGGGGGGTTTTGTGCATTTTTTTAAGCCGTATCATTAATGAAGTGTGCCTAGTGTTTTTCTGTTGCCTCATCAGGTCCTTTCACCTGAGTCAGAGGGTATTGGAGCCAGTTTAGTGTAACAGCGCCATATGTTTGGAGCAGTGATAGTTTTTTGCTTGATAACCAGATGCAGACTGCAGGATGTGCACTACATTTACAGATCTCCCATGTGAATATTTAGGCCAGTTAGCGGCAGGAGGTTGTGGTCTGTAGATGTAATGTCATCTGGCATAGGGAATTAATAGGTTTCATTGTACTGCCTTGACGTGCAGAGCTTTATTTCATTGCAGGGTCCCCACTCCACTTGCTCCAAGACACCCTCGTTGTTTGGGTTTTTTTTGCTTTCCCTGAAAGAAGTGATAACCAATCAATGCAATTGACACCATAATTAGACATTTTCTCAAGGATCACATGGTTCCTGTGCCTGTGAAGGAGTCTCCTGTAATGCTTAGGATGTGTAACATGGAGGAGCTGCAGGCTCATAACAAAGGGGAATTTTCTCTGTCACTGAATGTAACACCCTGTCCAATGGACATTGTAAAATCGAATGTCAAAACATAAATATTTCAGTGAGGCAGTTCAGCTGTCAAGAGGCTCACCTGCTGATTCCACTGTGTTTAAAGCATTGTGATTCAAGATCCAGTGGCCACAGTCACCCTCAGAATTATTTCAACACCCAGGATCTGATTTTACTGAATGACCTAAAGTAGAGAACAAACAAACAAGTGTGGGATTACTGTGCATTGTTGACCAAGAAAAGCAAGACTTACTAGCAGGCGATGGTTGGGGTGCACTTTCAGAGTCAGTGGGGTCCAGATTTATGCAGTAAATTTTGCAATGGCATTAAAAATTGAAGGAGTTTGATGAGAGGAGAATAATGCGGCAGAGGGAAAGAAGAGGGAAGAGAAAGCAATAGGAGTGGTAAACTCTTCAGTTACATCTTCAATGAATGCCCTGGGCTAACAGCAAGACCTCAAAATAGAGAAATGCAATCCAGACTAGTGGAGTTCACTAGTGGAAAAGGTTTTGGATTTCCAGTTCTTCCTGAAGCATTTTGCATTGGAAAGACATCAGGACAAAATATGCTGAAGGGCAAAATTCCCTATTGGGTTGAAGAGATTGACAAGGAAATGATATGGTTCATAGATTAAGCTGGCACTGTGACACTGGTAGCAATGTGTGAGCAGAAGTCTGCAGGAATTTGCATTTTGGCAGCAAAGGTTAGGTGGTGCAAAGATGATCTCAAAAGCCTTCAGCAAACTGCCCTGCAGGGCTGGGGAAATCTCAGTGGTGGGGAAAGAGGGCTTCCAAGAGGATATCTCTGAGACTGAAGACTTGTCCTTGTCTACTGCTGCTCTTTGCTACACACAAACAAGGAAGACTAGTCATGATGTGTTGTTTTAGAAATTATGGAGTGAAGCAAAATATTCAGAGAGATTTTCAGTGGGTGTAAATTACCCTTAATTGCTTGCAGTGAGGAGGACTATTCCTTTAAGCTGAGGATCTTATTCATGATCTGAATGTTTTCAACAAATCAAGATTGCCCCTCAGAGACAGTGCATAATAGTGTCTTAGTGTCTTTTTGACACTAGCAGATTGTTTTGGTGAATTAAAGTAGTAATATTTTTCAGATAGCAGTGTACACCAGAATACTTCTCCTACTAGACTGTGGCTTAAATATAGTTTAATTTTTGTACAGCAGGTGGGAGAAAATGTAAATTTCATGATATATGTTGAATAAAGAGGTTATTATTTTGTCAAATGTGTATAGTTTCAGTCTGATGTTTTATGTATCAGTCAGCTGTTTGAGAACATAAATATGACAGTTTGGATATCTAGTGGATTTTTTAATTTTTATTCTTACAGCGGTTCACATGGACAGCATGTTACTGCTCAGCAAAGACAGGCCACGTGCACTATTCAGATCACATAACATACTCTTCAAATTACCCACCAGTTTTTTGCTTGATATTTTTCATATTTTTGATTGCCAGGACTATATGTAAAGAAAATATGAAATACAAGCTCAGATGTGAAAGCTAGAGCCGAAATTACTTTTTAATATTGGCAAAGTGTGAACGAGGATACATTGGATTTGGCCCCTATTTGGGGAGGGGAGTAACATTTTGGAGATCAGAAACAAGATGTAACGGTGCAATTTTGTCCTAGGGTAATTAATGACATCAATCAGTTCTGTGTAATCTGAGTCTTATTTGTGCAGAAAGTGATTGATACCATTTCATAAAAAAGCATCTTTCAGCGACAAGTACAACATAGTTGCAGGTCAGCTTTGCCTTCACTTGACACTCAAGTCTGTAAACACAGGTGGCAGTGAAGACATTAGAATCAGAGCATTGAATACCCTCTATCACTGCTAGTGTTAGTCATATCCAATGTTGCAAGTGCAGCCCTGAACACCGAAGTTATGCTTTAATGAGGAAAAAATGACCAACAGTACCTCTTAGTTTTCAGTTTTATGAAGGCTGTGACATTGCTTATGTGGACTTGTGGACTTCATACTTATAGACTTCATAGAACAGCTGATGTTGAAGTGTTACTTATGCTTGGACAACCCACCATTTTTTTTAAAATTAAAAAATATGTAAGAATATGTGTATGTGTGCGTGTGTGTATACACACACGCACACACACACACAAACACACATATATATATATATATATATATATATATATATATAAGTAAGAAAGGTAATGCAATGCAATTTAATAAAGAGTTATTCCCTAAACAGAAAAGGTTTTTAAATACCAGAGACTTCTGCTTTAGGAGGTATCACACTCAAAAGGCAATGTACTGAAAGAACTATAAATAAAAACCTAAAAAAAGGACTCTAAGAGGAATAGGAAGACTTTTCCTGAAGAGGAGGAAGAAGGGAGGGAAGAGTATTTCAGAGCAGAAAGTGCTGCCACACAGCTGAATAAAAATAATTGGAATTTTGGAATCTATGTGGTGAAAGTATTTGAGAATGAGTAAACCACAACAATTTTTTTTTTCCAGGACATGTGAGTATTCTGCTTTTCATCAGATTGTGCTGTCTAGCATATGGACTGTTTTTCAGTTGGTATTTTGGGTGCGTTTTTCAGTTCTGTGCTGTGGCGTGTGGCTGGGGACCATGGCACTCCATATGGTGGCTTTCATACTTTCCTGCAGGTGTAAAAGAAAGGATATAAGAGAACACTGTTCGAGATAAAGGTTAGAGCAATTCTAGGTTTGGAATGTCTGTTCAGAGCAAGAACAAGACATTTCAAACTGCTTAGTGAAAAGCCTCCAACATATTGTAAATGTTTTACTGACATTTCTTAAGAAAATCCATTTTGTATTTTTATCTCTGTTAAATAACAATCTGCTGCCTCTTTGAAATAAACTGACAGTTTATCAATATCAGATGTCTTTAACATGATGTAACTTAGAGGGCGTAAATCAAGGGTGTGTAAACAGCCTCTACTACAAACAACACTTACAGTAGTTGAACAGAGGGGTAGGAAGTGAACATATCACAGAGGAAGCATAGCTACTCTCCTTAACACACTCTCAGTAATTACTGTCATATGGTCACGATTTACCCAAAGGGCCAGATCAAAACTGAGCTATGACTAGTTGGGATTAATCATTTCAAACTAGGCTCTGCTAGCAAGAATGACACCTGCGTGTTAATCCCGCCGTGAGAAGAGTCGTGGTCCATGTTGGAGTGATGTCTTTTATAACTGTAGCATCCTGTTTTCAAAATTATGGTCTTTAGGTAAGACATTGCCTATTCTCTTTGGGTTGCCTGTAGGGAGACTGGATTTTCACATATGGAAGCTTTCAAATTGCTACTGCTTAGCAAACACGCTCAGTGGGTTTGTGGTTTATCCCACCAGCCTCTAAGCAAAGCCTTTCTGGTGCAGGGCAGCACCACAGAAGGGATTACTATAAAAAGGCTTTAAATACAGTCTGTAATCAGAAGAGCTTTTTATTTGTTTCATGTTTCTGCCCTCTAGGTACCTTTGGCAGCACGATGCATAGGCGTTCTGCAGCTAAAAGAGCCTGACATACTGAAAACAGATAGTGGATATCACATTTCACTCAGTTTTAATACTAGTGGGTAGGGATATAATGATAATTTATCTGGAACGTTTAATGTGTGTGTGATTTAATGTCTAGCCTTTTTAGATTAATTAAATATAGAAAGGATGAAATCTTCTTTCTTCCGTGCCTTCCTAAGGAGCAGCAGTTCACTCCAAATTAATGCCTTGTTATCTATTTTATTTTCACCCTTATTTTCACCTCATATTTGAAGCTTCATAAATGCTTTTTGTCTTCCTCATTGCTCACTCAGACAAGGAGGATGCCTATTTCAGAGACAGCATTGTTTACCTGGTGATTTCCCCAATAGGCAAAGCTATGTTTGGCTCTGACTGACAGAATTTATACTTTTAAAAACATTATACTAAGTATACATTTTTACTTGAGCAGAGAAGGTCACAGTTGTAAAAGGCAGAAAAAAGTCTCCTTTGAGCATTGAAGTTTGAGAGGTTTCTTTAAAAAAAAAATTGCGTTCTACCAGTTTTTAAATTATTAAATTTTGAAATAAAAACAGATGCACAAAAAGATAAAAATTGTATTTGTTAGTGCTGAAAAATCATTCATCATTAAATCAAGATTTCATTGAAAACACAAAATCACATTATCCTCTGATCTTTCTCAGCATATTTCTATATAAATATATAAACTAGTCTAACATGTTTCTTACTATGTCTGACATTTGCTTTAGGAATGTAGTAAAAATGAGTGGGGAGACTCAGGGCTTTTTAGCAGGTCAGGTTCAGATCAGAACAAATCATAGCATCTGGTGCACTGTGACTAAGAATCAATCAAATTGTTCTGATTAATCTTATACTCCTTTATTTTACTTTTGAGTTATATGGAAGAGATTTAAGCTAGGATGTGTCCCTCCTGTTAATACAACTTCCTGACTGTAGCCAGTTTGTAATTATATCATAGTAATGACAAGCAAAGTAAACCACAGCAGACAGAGGAGAAAAGAAATCAAATCAAATGACTGTAAATAACAACACTTGCTTTGATTATTTTAAAGAGAAAAAAATGTATCATTTGTACTGGGAAAAATAAATGGTGTATTAAGAGAACAGTCAGGGAAAAACGTTATGACTATAAATACATCTATATCAGCAGTAGTAATGCCATCCAAGGAGTTTGCTGTAAACTCTGAGACTGCTTATGTAAACTCATTGGTATTGATGATGAGAAATGTAATAAATAAACATTTTTCATGCATGATGTGAAAGCTGTGAAGAATTATTTGCATTCTTAAAAAAAAAAAAAAAATCTGACAACGGTTCTTGTCTTTTTCCTGGATAGGTACCTGTTACAACATTTCTTTGGTGAAGGCTATTCAGCAGTGGTGACATCTTCCAATCGACCACTCTGCAAATTATTATCTCTGGACTCCCAGCTGACACCCTGCCAGAGGCTAGAGCTACTGAGACAACTGGAATTGTGCCTGCTTTGGTCAAGGTTTTTTCTTTCACGGAGGAAAAAAAAAAAAAAAAAAAAAAAAAGATGAAGCTGGGCAAAGCGGAGTTCTGCCATTTTCTGCAGATACTAGCTCTTCTCCTGTGTCTTTCTGGGATGAATCAAGCAGAGCTCACAAGGTCCAGGTCAAAGCCCTACTTTCAATCAGGGAGGACGAGAACCAAACGCAGCTGGGTGTGGAATCAATTCTTTGTGCTGGAAGAATACATGGGTACAGACCCACTCTATGTAGGAAAGGTAGGGGATTTAAACAAAATTTGGAGGGTGCAAATGCTTCCTTTTTCATGTGTTTATATGGTGCAAACTTTTAATATTAACTGAAAATTTTAATTCCATCAGTGCGGTTGACTTAAGCCAAGATGGGACAAAGTTTTGTAGTTTGAAAAAGAAAAAAGGTTTAGTACTTCAAAACAGCAATGTACTACATTCCTATAAGATTGCAACATTCCTCTCTCACATTTTTCTTTAAGAGCTCTACGTATTAGCACTACTTCTTTAATGGAATACAGTAATGAAAGTGTTTAACTCCCACTGACAGAAGAAAGTATTTATTACTTACATTAGAGTTTATTTCTTTTACATAGAAATAGAGTAACATAAGGATGAATGTTCTTTTTTAAGAGCTAACAGCTAGCCCCAGAAAACAGAAGTTCTGTATTATTTTGTTTGCTCCCTAAAAATCAGCACTACTGAAGGCAAGAGAGAAAGAACGAGGCATCTGTGGGTGTGACGAGTGAAAAGGAGGGCATGTCCGTGTTACTGCTTTGCTTTGACTTTGCCTGGCTGGCATATTGGCACCTTGGGGGCCTTGCTGTCCTCTGCACATAGCACAGCCTTGTGGCTTTACGTCTGATGGGCACGGGTCCAGTACAGAGCAAGCCCTTACATCAGGGCATCCCAAATGGTTCATTCTGAGCGCCCGTCGCTGCACGTGGAGCACTGTGAGCACAGCTGTGAATCTGGGACTTAGCTCATTCACTGCTAGTAGGTAATATGCTTCCTTCAGCAATGATGAAGGGGAAAAAAAACCCACATAAAACACCAAACAAAACCCCCTCTGGTGTTTCTATGTAACATTTATGTGTAATCATCTTATTGAAAGGAAAAACCATTTTTCTCTGTAATATCAGAATCAATAAATAGAGTTTCTCGTTAAAATACAGCAAATGCATAGAAAACAAGGGAGTGACAGCTTTTGGCACAACAACATGCTTGCAGAAAAGGAAATGAAGTAATCTGAAATTCACCGCTTCAAATATGCAACTGCAATGAATTTCAGCTTACTTAATGCATCCTACTGAGACAAAACCTTGATGTTTGTGTTAATACAGTTAAGCACTTAGAATTTAATCATGCCAACTGAATAATCAAGTTAAATGGTGAACTGCTTTCATAACTGCAGCTATGGTGGGGTTTAGGTCCTTTTCTGAACTGAGACTTATACTTTGCACAACTGAACTTTAGAGAAAGATGTGTTAGAATCACAAATGTGATCTGAAATTACAGCCATCCTGAAAGTTTTGGTAAAGTTTTAGGTTATGTAGCAGTTTCCATTCTGATGCCATGTAGCTGCTGCTTGTCTATGTGAGTTGGTCTTTTAGGCAAATTTGTTTGCAGGTTGGAGCTTCTCTTCTGCTTTTAAAAATGTCCTATTTGGCATTCTTGCCCATTGATAAAATAGAAAATGTGGATTGCAAATTTCAATTCCTCCCCTGGAAGAGATGTCTCTAAATATTCCAATGAAAGCTGGTTTTGATCTGTAGTAATTCTCATATTCAGTCAATTGCTGTATTATGGCCAAAAATGCTGTGGTAGCGCTACAGTACATGATATTTGCATGTATGTGGTTATTTTTAGCTTCACAGTCTGCTCTTTCCTGTCCTTTACGAGAGTCCTAGCATTCGTAAGCAGATATCTTTTGAAATGCAAACCTTTTTTTTTTCTTTCTTTTTTTTTTTTCTGAAACCGTCTCTGCCCAGCCTGTTTTTGTATCGGCAGTATGAATTGTTGGCTCAGGAACTCACACTTGGACCAGCAATCCATTTTGTAGGAAAAGCAGATAAAAATTTGCACTTACAAAAGGAAACCCATCTTCCTGGAAACAGAGTCCTTGCTGAGCATCTTGTAAGATAAGACGTGCCCAGTTCCTAACCCTCTCACTGGAGAGGCTTTTCACTGTGTGGCTCCTGAGGTGCAATCATGACCAAAGCTGCATTCCCACACATGGAAGCAAAAAAGGTGAAGAAGTGATTTTCTTTTCTGTGTCTACATAATATGTGTAGCACCACTCTGAAGTGAGCAGCAGTTGCCTTCCTCCCCCTCTCCTCCCTTTAAAAGTATTGCTGTTCTTGTTTTAAATCCTTTGCAGCTAGGTAGGGACTGAGAAGACTCAGATTTGGGTAGGAAGGCTGGTTTTTTTTTGGTTTGTTTCCTTTTTTTTTTTTTTTTTTTCCCTTGGTGAGGAAGCTACAGGAAGCAAAAAGCTGGCATAACTCACTTCTCTCATCAAGTGAAGTGGAAGCAGCAACCAAACTCTGCTTAATGCTCTGCAGAGTGCTCTACTCCAGGGAGGTCAGTTCTGCACTGCCTTACGATGCTTTGCAGGGTGCCAGTCTAACTGCACATCCAGGAAGGAGGGACCTTTCCCCAGCTTTTAAGAGCTATGAGGTAAAAAGGCTTCAGAAACGCTCAAGCAAATGGAGCTGCAATAGGGAATATTGTCTCCCCACCACTATTCAATTTTACAAAGTGTTAGGCAATTCTGTTTGGAAGGCAACATTTGGAGAATACTAGGGTTTCACAGCAAATCACTCAAGAGTTTTGAAATGCCAGTGTTAATTCCATGTTCAGCATTAACTCTGCGCTCGTGGGTGTCTGCATTCTGACACTTTAATTACCTGATCATGTAGGGTAAAACCCTATTCCTTGTAAACAATGTAGCAGGATTCCTATTCACCTCAGTAAGACAATGTTTCACTTAATTTTTCAGTGGTTTGATGTTTGTTTAACAAGGTTTCGGATCCATACCTGAGGTATATTGCAGCCTTCCTTCTGGACATCCATTTATTGGTAGAATTTTTTTTTTTCCTAAATGCATATGTATTTCTTTTCTTAAGGCAGCAGGGCCTGTTTCTTATGTCACTGCAGAAATCTCTGGAGGAGATCCTTTAATTTTACACTAATAGGAGTCAGAGGTGGCAGAAATTTTGTGCCTTTGTTTTTTTGTGTTTTTCTTCTTTTTTTTTTTTTTTTTTTTCATGTAGGTCTTTCCTCTCCATGATACAAATTTTAATTATCTTCGATGTAATTCTGAGCACCTCTTGGGAGGTGCTTGACATGTAATCAGGTTGTGGACTGAACCCCCTACAATTTCTTTCTGTCCATTAGCACAGCATATGTTATATTCTCTTGAAGGGTTAAAGCATTTAACTATTTAGCCCATTTACCTGTTTGGATAAGCCCTATTCTCTTCTAGGCGTTCTGTGTAGAAGATGAGGCAGTTAACTGTGATGCTAATTGAGCTAGAACCATAGTTGGCTCCTGATTTCTGAAAAATGTTTACTATTGTCTTGGTAATATGTTTTTTTTTTTATTTTCCATATAAATAACTTTAATAGAATCTATTTGGGCAAAAAAAAGTAATAGTATAGAGTAGTTCTAAATGATTCAATTTAAATTTAGCAAAAAGTGTATTATATTACATTGAATTTTTGAAAAGCTATGTACAGTCTTGTAATTGAAGTTTCTATGCGTACACATTGGCAAGAAGGGATGTAGTTAAAGTAGAACTTGAAAATGTTGTTGATATCTTTTTTAGGTTTTGTTGTATAACTATGAGACATCCAGTTTTGTTTGTTTGGTGTTTTTGTTTGGGTTTTGTTTGTTTCTTTGTGTTTTTATTTTTGGTTTTATTTGGTTGGTTTGTTTTTGGAGTGGTTGTGTTGTGGGATTTTTTTGTTTGGGATTTTTGTTGTTTGTTTTGTATTTGGAGGGGGTAATTTCTTTTACGTTCTGCTTCAAGAGTGTCAGTCTCCTCAAAAGCATTATGACACAAAATCTCAACCAGCAATTCTTTCATTTTTCTTATTAAAAAGTGAAAAAAAAATCAAAAGAAGCCACAAATAAACCTGAGGAAATTAAACAAGGCTGTGAACTCCATGTGAGATGCTGATTGATGGCTGGCTTCTCTGTTTTCTTTTGGATCCAAATCAAGACTCCTTTTCCAATGGCTCTAAATTTAGGTATAGTTAAAAGGCAGTTTCAAGCTTTTTGCTGAGTTGAACTCTTCTTTTCCCCTGAGATCTCACTAACATATGAAGCACTGAAAATAAAAGACACAGACTTTTGATTGAGCACAAACCCATTAAATTTATATGTAACTTTGAGAGGTTCCCTGATAATTCTCAAAAATAACACTTGGAACTTGTAAGATATCCTGAATGTAGTTATTATTTATAATGTATGCAAAAGGAAAGCATACATTCTAATTTGCATTTTCTAGTTTGTAACTTCAAGAAAAAAGGTTAAACAAGTAAACCGAGTGTGTCGTTTCCTAGAGCTCCCAGTCACTGCGTTCCAGTACAATTTTACCTGTCTTTGTTTTTGCTCTAACTATTTTAAGATAAAAAAGCTTGTTGGATTCAATTTTCAAACATTGACGGAAGTGCATAGAAGCTCATATTTGTATTATTACTTTCTGGAATAGTGCAGAATGAGTAAAGCATGAAAAAAACACAGTGAACTTAAACTTTTCCTATAAAATTGGGTCATTTAAGAGAATTTGCAGGTTTTACAAGTTTTAAGAGAACTTCCAGGCAGGATGGGGAAAAGGTTTTTAAAGTAGAAAAAATAACAAGAAGTGTATGTTATTGTTGGCATAGAGAGTGGATGGGGTTTTTTTCAGTCTCAGCAGTTTGGAGGGAAGGAGGCCAGGCAGGGGAAGATACTGGGTTTTTTGTTTGTTTGTTTGTTTGTTTGTTTTGGTTTTTTTTATTTTTTTTTATTTTTTTCCAAAGATGTTGGCAAATATGTCAATAGAGTGACATAATTCACACACTGTATTTATCTGTGCTGTAACCTTATATCAGCGGTAGAGTTCTTTTCTTAGAACTGTATCCTGACAATTTCAGATGCTGCTGATGAATTTTGACTGACTTGGGTAATGAGTGTCTTTGCTAAAAACACTTTAGGCAGTGCATACTGTGGAAGTGCTGGCCCCTCAGTTAAACTCGGACCAA